CTCAGCTTTTACTAGAATCACTGCCTAAAGTATTTTTTATTTTAAAAAAATGGTCGTTTCTGTAAACATTTCATATCACATAAACCATTATAGAAACACAAAAACAAACATGCAACACATAAGAACAAGTATCTACAACCCAGAAAACAGTCCTACGTATAACTATTTAATGTGATTTTTGGTTTTCATACCTATGGTTATTATCTTTGAACGAAAATTTTTTTGAACACTCTTTTAAACTCTTATTTTAGGAGAAAAATCCCAACAATCCTTAATTTGGGTGAATCTGAAGTTTAAAAATTATTTGGAGTGCAATCTTAAATTGACCCTAACTTTCACTTTGTAAAAAAAAGTTATGGTATTGTAGTAGCTGGTATAGTGAGCTAATCCTTCTAGATCTCCCAGAAAACGTTGTTTTTCGTTTTTCATAAATTTATTTTGTTTTTTTTCAAACTTTGCAAAAGTATTTAAAATAGTTAGACTTTGAGTTTTGAGCTGAAATTTTTTCTGAGGGGTTTTTATGATTTTTTGGACATTCATACAAATTTTCAAGTCATTTGAAGTTCATTTGAGCATACTCTCACTTTTACCTATACCTATGGTATATGAATAACAAACAACTAAACGAAAACATAAAAAACCTAAAACGAAACTAGCCTTGAAGGTGGGTTTGGTGCTGAAACAAAACGAAATAAACATCCAAAGAGCACCCATGCACAAAATCAATCGGTAAAAACGAAAGAAAATGGTAGAGAAACAATTAATCAACGAAAAATGAAAGAAAAAATGACACAAATGTTGAAGATGATGGTTTGGAAGACAAGGAGAGAGCAGCACAGTGGTGCAATAGATAAGGTTATCTTTGAAATGTGCAAGAGACACTAGTACAGATAGAGGAAATGGCACCGGTTATTTTCGCTGATAGGCACCGGTTCCTGAACCGAGGCATATTCAGGCGAGGTAAAAAGTGATAGACTTTATGCCTCGGTTATTAGAACCGAAATTGTTCCTCTGCCTCTACTGTCTCGGTTGGAGGCTGAACCGAGGCAGTAGGGTCTTATTTTTATTTTTTTTTTCCTTTTTCTTTAGACAGTTAACAGCACCTTCAACATCTCCAATGAAGTTGATCATTCTCAGATTCGAAACCAGATCAATCCAGACCAAACAAACGTCCAAAAGAAGCACGTAAAACAAATCAAAACAAATTCTCAGATTCAAAAAATTATTCTCAGATTCAATTCAATAAATCAACACAGATTCAATTCAACAAAATGCAAAACTCTACTGATCCAAAACTGCACTGAAACCAAATGCAAAACCCAAAGCAGCTACGGTCAACATCAAAAAAACCCTAATCAGGCCACCGCACCGCACCAGACCTGGTTGTTCTGCCGCAGTCCGTCGACGCAGACCGGACACCGCACCAGACTCGCCAATCAGGCCACCGCTGCTCCTGCGTCCGCTCTGTTCTTCGCCAACAGCCTCAGCTTCGCCGTCGCCGATCGCTTCACCACCACCAACGAAGAATGCAGTCCGTCGCCGCAGATCTGCCCTCCGTGCGCCCAGATCTGCCCTCCGTCGCCGCAGATCTGCCCTCCGTGCGCCCAGATCTGCCCTCCGTCACCGCTGCGTCGTCGTCGCCGCGTATCGTTGCCGCTGCGTTCTTGGTGCCGCGACCTTGCTGTCGCCGTTGCGTCCACCATGGCGAGGCGGAGAAGATGCAGAGAAGGGGCAGAGAAGAGAGAAGAGAAGAGTTGCGTAGGGTGGGGGCAGAGAAGAGAGAAGAGAAGAGCTGCGAGGGAGAAGACGCAGAGAAGAGAGAAGTGCTTTGGGGGAAATGGGGGAAATGAGCAGGAAGCTTCCTCGGGTGAATTAAAAGCACAATATGCCTCGGGTGTATGCCAACCGAGGCCGATCCAGAGTCTAATATGCCTCGGGTCCATGCCAACCGAGGTCGTATCTTTGCTATGTGAGGATTATGCCTCGGTTCACTCTGATAACCGAATCAATATTATTTTTAGGCACCGGTTGTTTAACAACCGAGGCATATAATGCTTTTAAAATTACGAAAATGCCACCGCTTTTTGATATGCTTCGGTTCAGTAAGAACCGAGTCATAATGTACGAGTTAAAAACGTCATTTTTTACTAGTGAGACTCAGTTTGCAGAATTTAACCCTAGAAACATGTTATTACCTCGGTTATAATATTAACCGAGACAATAAGGCTTTATGGCCTTGGTTTTATTAAAAACCGCTGCCTAAAGCCTCTAAATTTTTTTTTAAAAAAAATCAGTTATTTTATGTCTCGGTTTGCATCATAATCGAATCATAAGTACTTTATGGCCTCGATTATCCAAACAACCAAGGTTATAGACCCCTTTAGGCTTCAATTCTTTGTGAACCGAGACACATATGTTTGCTATTATTGCAAATATGTCAATGCGCCATTTTATGCTTCGGTTTCAAAGAAATCGATGTCAAATACACGAGTTAAAATCCATATATTTTACTACCAAATAACTCACCATAACACCCAAACCCTAAATGAGTCTTACCCTCCTTAATTGTCCCATGACCCGATTTCCCGTATCCCGAGAACACTACCCACACACTTGGCCCAACAACAACACATATGCACTTTGAGGCACACTAGTGCAGTAAGAGGAAATTGTACCGGTTACTTTTGCTTATAGGCACCGATTCTACAACCGAGGCATATATAGACGAGGTAAAAAATGGTAGGTTTTATGCCTCGGTTATGGACTGAGTCAAAAAGAATAGGATTATGCCTCGGTTTTTAGGTAATCGAGGAAGTAACATTTTTTTTTAATTTTTTCAACCTTTAGGATGCTGATTCACTGTGGAATGATCTTGCTGATGTTCCCAAAGCTGGTAAACAACCATCCTCGACCATCCTCATCTCCTTGACATTGCTTGTTGACCACTGCTACCTTCAAGCTTTCCTTCCTAATCACCACTTTCCTTACTTCTTGCTCCTCCTTTGGCTTAGGCATCATCTGTTCACGGTCAGCCAACCAATAAGCCTATTTCAGGAGTGGTGGGTCAAAACTCAAGCTTCATTTGGGGGTTCACAGCATAGTAAGAACAACAACATATCAGAAATTCCTACATACACCACAAAGCAATACACAACACACAGAGAAGCTTCATCGCACCTTCATTGCACAATATACAACATCAACAAAAGACATCATCAACAAAAGAGAAGCTTCAGAGGCCGTCGGGACTGAAGGTCGTTTCGCGTGCCCCAGATCCTGACGGTACCGGAGGCATCGGTGGAGGCAACCCACTCCCCGTTGAGGGAGAAACGCGCGATGGTGGTCGAGGCGGAGGCGGCCCACTCGTCGTTGGGGGAGAAACGCGCGATGGTGGCCGAGGCAGAGGAGACGAACTCGCGAGGTTGAACAACGACCAATTGGGATTTTCTGATTTAGGGCTTCGCGATTTGGGCTTCATGATCTGGAGCGGTGGATGAAACCCTATTTCCGGCGGAGGCAGCAGTGTTGGAGGCAATAGTGACAGAGGTGAGCACTGGCAGCACACGGGTGGGCGGCGAGCCGTGGAAGTGGTGGAGGAACCCGCGACGCAGAGGAAGAATGGAGAGCAGGAGGAAGGAGAAGCTTTTTGACGCAAATAGGTTAAGTGCAGAGTGGCAGCGGCAGTAAAAGCTTTTGCTTTGGCACTGGTTAAAAGGCCAGCCCGAGGTATAAAGTGCTGGACAACATCAACGATTTCGGTTCCTTATGAACCGATGCCTTAAGTCTGGCGTAGCAAGTAAAGTTGCAGGCACGTAGCAGGTGCAGTAGTGATATAGGCCTCGGGTCTTAGATTAACCAGTGCAATATCGTTATTCTGCCTCGGGTCTTAGATTAACCGATGTATATAACGTTATACGCTTCAGTTCTCACGTAACCGAAACCTATATAGCAAGTTAAAAACCACATTTTTTACTAGTGGCAAAGTCATTCTTCGATAGAAGATAGTGATATAGCAGGATCTAACACCTCCAAGAGACCCACACTTGAACACAAGAACTCAAATAAATGTAAGATTTTATTTAAAATTGAGTTGTTAGATAATAATTATGTATTGTTGTTTTTCTATTTTTTTTTAGGCCAAAAACTTTCCCTACTGATTTGTGCAAGGAAAAGAGAACAAAGAATGATTACTTCACCCTAGTGTCTTTTCTTCTTCTCTATAATCTTAGTGTAGTTGTAGCAAACCCTAGTGCCTTTTCTTCTTCCTCTGTAATCTTAGTGTAGTTGTAGCAAAGTGTCTTTTCTTCTTCCTCTGTAATCTTAGTGTAGTTGTAGCAAAGGCTTTAACTCTCTATTTTTCTCTCTTCCTTTTTTTTTAATAATAATTGCTTGCACTTTTTCTTCAAACACTTTATATATCTTCTTATAAATTATAAATTTTCTTCTTTTTTCTATGAACTTTTATTTTTCTTTAATATTATACTTTTCATGTAAGAGAGGGAGATTGATTTTAGACTCTTTAGGAAGAGTAGGCTCACGATGATACCAAGGGTGATTGGTACACAGTGATGAGTATTATACGTAAGGGATTTCACGATGTTCTTTCCTTCTATATTAATTTTACCTAACCATCCACCGTGTAACTTTCTAGAATATTTTCTATAGTTTAGGTTAGCTAATTTATCAAGTAATGTTAATCATCAAATGCATTTATATAAAAAGAATATAAACAACTATTCTTGGTTAAAAAAAGAAAAAAGATAAGTAACCATATATATGTCTATAATATTGTATGGATATAACAAATTTTTGAATGATATTGACTGTTTAAAACAATTGAAGATGTTACCGAAGACAATAAGATAAATGTATAAACTCATTACCAGCTAAGTTTTTAAAGAAAAAGTACTTGGAAAAATAAAGATAACGTTGACGATATATATGTGAGAGCTTATATAACCGATAAACAAACATTGTTTCAACGTAAAGAACATAGAAAATTAGCTAGAATAAATCTGCATTTTAATTAAAAGATGTGACAATTAAAATTAAGACATTAAGCAATAAATTAACGTTACAACATACTTTGCAATGAAATAAAATTTAAATAGTTCACTTATTCATAAAAGCAGGTATTGCAAACCCAAACTTAGTAGAGAGAGTGATCATAAAAGAAGACTCAAGCAGCATTGCGAGAAAGAGCCTCCTTAATTAACTTATGGATGTTGTTGTAAGATGTTCCTCCAACATCAGTAGCTTTGATTGCTTTCTTCTTCCATTCCAAGGATTTTTGTCTGATTTCCTTTCCTTTATCTCCCTTTATCATTTCTGTGACAAGGTCAGATATCTCATCTCTCTTCACATCCTGATTAATCTCCATTCCTACCCCCCAATTTGCACACACATACCTGCAGTTTGTGTGTTGATCAGAAAAGAAAGGCCAACAAACCATAGGCACACCAGCATAAATGCCTTCAAGTGTAGAATTCCAGCCACAGTGGGTTAGAAAAACCCCAACAGAGGGATGAGAAAGCACTTGCTCTTGCATGCACCAACTTGTTATATACCCTCTATCCTTGATTTCATCAAAGAATTCTTGTGGCAATGAATCAGATTCATCAGCTACTATGTCTGCCCTTTTGATCCATAAGAAAGGTAGCTTGCTGTTTGCAAGTCCCCATGCAAATTCTTTCAGGTGATGAGCTGTCATCACTGCTATGCTTCCAAAATTAACGTATACCACTGAGTTAGGTTCCCATTTGTTTAACCATGTTAAGCAGTTTGAGTCATTTTTCCACAAACTTGATCCAACTGACATGAAACCCTTCTCCTTCTCAGGAAAATGCCTACCGAGCAAGTCCAGTGGACCAATGGTGTATATGTTTGGGTTATATGACCTTAGAATCTCAAGCCCTTCTTCGTCTAAGTCTTCGAATGTGTTTATGATCACTGCCGAAGATTTCAGAGTGTTTCGTGACTCAGAATTCAAGAAATCATACAAAATATCATCCAAAGAAGTGACCCTGCAGAATGTTGGAAGGTCTCTCAGTCTCATGTTACTCATTCCTTTGATCCAATCCAGACTTATATCCAAAGCATCATCAATCTCCTTCTGATCTGAAATTTTTTACAAGAATATATTATGTAAGATTATGTTTAAAAATTCAATTGATCCTACGATATTTCTGATTGCTATGTTCATCATAATAGACTCTACAATCTGTTTTCATCTCTGTTTAGAGTAAGATAAGAATTCATTTATATATTTCATGTTATTCTTATTTTATTTAACTTAATAAAACACAGTTATATCTCACTAATAATCAAAAGATGTAAATGATTCTGATTTGCAAGGGCAAGCCTTGTAAGCCACTCAAATGCTTCAATCATTTGCGGGACCCACTGACAAGGGTGACGGAATAATTAAACTAAATATTGGTGGAGTAAAATAAATTTCATTAATTAAAAAACTATTGAGAGAGTCATATAATGATTAAAAAACGATGTAGGTATGGGTTTCCATAAGACAAACTTGCAATCTATTTATTTTCTGTCACGCTAAAATTCAAAAACAAAAAGTATACTAATTTATATTTTATTTTATCTTTTATGTTAAACCCATGATATTGATGAAAATATAAAATAAGAAATGAAAATACACAAATCTAATCAAATTTATGAATATTCTGAAATCTGTAAAATAAATTATGAGAAAAATAAATTAAAAAAGAACTCATATATTAAAAAGTAAAAGGGTCTAAAATTAAAATTTATAAAACATTAAATCATTTATTTATCTTCCTTCCGCTTATATTTATTTGAGAAAATAAATAATATATTTTTGTAACAAGCATTTTGGATTTATCATCGATTAAAAGTGTTGAGATAAACCATCATAAAAAAGAGTATTCTGTTTTTTCTTTTTGTGTACATTCTCATAATTTCTTTTGGAATAAACATTTTTCTACTTATGGTCAGTGTCGCCCAACCGATCAACCCATAAAACCTGTATCAGAAGACGTGGTTGATTTTGACAGTTCATACACAACTATATCCTTTTATCATCATTCATTTATTGTGAGCATTGACTAATATTTTAATAAATGTTTTAACTTTTAAATCTATTAAGTCATGTTTTTGTGACCTTATATCAACAAAAATTTTAAATTATATATTTATAATTTATTTTAAATTCACTCGACCGACAAATTATGATAAATACATAATTTTAGTGAAATATATTCACATGACATGATGATGAAAAAATTAAGAGATTTGATTGGGGGACCTTTCTTGGGTAGGAAAATGTAAAAATATTTTAAAATAAGTTAATAGTTTTGTATTTTGATATTTTAAATCCATAAAAATATTATTGAATATGTAGATTAATTAATATAAAGTTACTTATAAATTAAAATCGTCTTTTAAAGAAAAAAATAAAATAAATACCCTCAAAGTAATCAAATAGTGTAAAACTCTCTCAGTCGAAAGAGACCACTTCAAAAGCTAGAAATGAGTATCATCTTTCTTCAGCTTGAGTTATTGTTGGTACTAGTAATCTATCATAATTCAATACCGATATATATATCTTCTTTTTGTCTTTTATACTTTTCAAATATGAAAAGATAAAAAAAAACTACCAAATTTGAAAAGAAAAGAAAAATTAAAGATTGAGCTATCAGGATCATTATGTGTCATTATTCCCATATATGTAACACTGAGTTTATTTATTATTCGACTGAAGTTATGGTTAGAGAAAAATGTTATTTTTATTTTTATTATTTTATGAAAGTCATCTGATGGACACCATTAAAATTATATAAATTAATTTGATATTATTTAACTAATATAATTAAAATATTATAGTGATTTAATAAAAAACATTGATATAATTTATGTTTAGGAAATGATATGGAAAAGTAACTTGTAAACATAAAAGAAAGTAAAAGAGGGAAAAAGATAAAATTGAACCTTTGAATGGAACCATGCCTCGTGCAACGAGTTCATCAAATTGCAGATATCCGACATAACCACAGACAGAGGCTGTCCAAAGTTGAACTTCTGGTATGCCCAGATCCTTTGCAACCGTTGCAGCAAAGCCCATAACCCCATCAGCAACTATGCAACTGATTGAAGGCACATCACCAGAAGAGTTAAGCTTCAACACCAACTCTTTGAAAGGGCCATAACAGGTTTTTCTGGTTGAATCACAGAGCATTGGAATGTCCTGAGTTGCATCCTTATCAGAAGGAGGCAATCCATCTGGTATGGTCTCATACGCGAAATCAGGGAGACCCTTAACAAATTCTGGTCCATGAGACTTGATAAAACGCCTGTGGTTGTACTCGCTGTTCACAAAGGTTATGTAGAAACCCTTGCAACGAAGGATCTTTGCGAGCTGCATCATTGGGTTTATATGGCCCTGTGCAGGGTATGGCACACAAACAATGTGAGGCTTTGGAGTTTCAACTGAGGCCATTTTTTTAGTCACTCAGTAAGAAACCTCAACACAACGACACTGTTTGTCAAGTGTAAGGTGTAGAAAGATTGCTATGCAGTGTGCTTTAGCATCCCTCCTTCCATCTTATATACAGAAACAGAGACCAACTTCGTCATTGGTTGGTCTACATTAAATTCACAACTGATAATGATGTGTTCGATAAAAAAATTTGTGTTTGCAAAACACTGATGTCACTGTTAAAGTAGAACCAGTAAAACTAGTCTTCTTCTTCTTCGTCTGGTTACTACCACACGGTAAATGGATCGATCACGTGGACACAAAATATTTCTATTTCGCTTATTTTAACTAAAATGAATTGTCGACATCAAAATTAATTATACGTCACCCCTTGAAAATAAATCTCATGACCATGAATGTATGTGTGTATATAATGAGTGGTTTTGTCATTTCCTAGAGAGAAAAGTAATATGGAAAAATCTAATAATAGAAAAAAATAAAAATGGAATAAAAGAAAGTTGCTTTTCTTTTAAAAGATTTTTTTTTTAACACATTAGTAAAAGGAATAGTTGTTTCGTTAAAAAAAATTATTTGATTGAATAAAATTAAATAAATATATTTTTTAATATTAGATTTTGTTATTTATTTAGGTTATTATATTTCATTATCAATGGATTTTTTGAGAAAAAATATTTTATTTATTTATTTATTCATTTTCAAGACACCATAATGAAAGGGATCGAGTAATCAAATTAGAAAAAAATAAGATTAAGTTGAATGTATTTATTGATTATGTTTTGTAATATTATTTTCATTGTGTTGTATTTATTACAATGCTTTTTCTTGCGTAGCATGGTAGAAAAAAATGGTGGTATACCACTCAATTTGTTTTTTCAATATTTTCATCCATTTTTTTTATCTACCACACAATTTGGTTTCTCTATCATTAAGACAGTTGATTAATGTACGCATAAATGTGTTAATAGAAGAGGAAGTGTAAAGAAAAGTCTACTAGTTGACGTAAATGTTCAGTAAAAGATTGAATGCGTGTAATTACTAAATTCATATACTTTTTTTTAATGAAATTATGTATAGCTTTTTCATTCTCATATTTTCTTTTTTCTCAATATAAAAGACCATATTTTATTTTAACTTTATTTATTTTTTACTTTTCTGTTTTTTTAATACGATAGAAGGTGAATTATTTTTCTCCTTGATAGGACATATTTATGAGATTATTGTTATTGTATAAAATGATTTTTTATTTCATTTTTTTATAAAATTTATAGTATATTATCCCACTTTTATGATATCAAAATATTTTAATTTTATATCATATGTACATATTATATATAATTTAAATATTTTATTATTCTTAAATTTCAAACTTATTCCATTAATTATAACTCTTTCTTTAAAAATGTTTAAAAGACTAAGTCCAACTGGGACTAATATAGTAATACTAACAAAACAAGAAGGCTTTTTCTTTTTCCTTTTCTTTTTCTTTTTTAAGAAAAACAAAAATACTTTTTGAAGTGGAAGTTTAAAGTTGTTTTCTCTCTCACTTCCACGACTATAGAAATTTCAAATTTGTTTTACTCAGAGTCCAGTTTATACAGATAATAAGATTGTGGCTAGTGTGAAAGCCTCTCACCATGGAAGATTAATAACCGTTGAATATTTTTTGTTTTCAATCGCATGGTTTTCTCTTTCTTTATTAATTTTTATTTCACTCTTTCTTTTAATTTCTTTTCTCTTCCTTCAAAACTACATGTCCGTTTCTGACAAGGATTACTTTTTTCTTTTTTTTCCTCTTAGCTTCTTACTTCTACGACGATAGTCCATTTTTGTCAATGCATACTCGACCATTTCCAAGTAATTTATTTAAATTAAATGAAACTTTAATATGTAACTTTTATGGAAAATTAAGAAATAGTAAGAGTATGAACCAACTTTTCTCTTCTTCAATCATCGTTATGGAAAACACGCACATTTAAGAAAAAAAGGTTTACAGTAATATGATTAAAAGTTTTTTTGAAATAAACGTGATAATTTATTGGTATAGAATATTTGAAATATATCTTCCAGAAAAATCTAACAATAATATAAAAACTGATGATCCATCTTGATTAGTGATTGAAATGAATAAGAATATTCGAAATTCTAAATGTCAAGATTCTTTGTATTAACAATTCCTTAACAAAAAAACGTACCAATGTAAAAATAATTACATTTTTAAGAATATAAATAAAAAGAAAGTCAGAAATTCAATACGTTAAAGTGGTTACCTAACACTCAAAAAATAGACCCCATGTTACCTATACCCTATTTATCTACGCCTCCTCGTTAACTACCAATACATAGTTCACACGGGTCTAATGTCCCACCCTACTTGTCAAATAATAATGGAATAACATTAGTTTGATATGGTGATACATCAGTTTTTATTAAAACAATATAATTTATAATAGGTTATAATGAGGATAAATTCGTAAAGTTTATACTCTTTTAAATTTAAAGATTTGGTTGAACAATTTTTCATTTCGTTGGTGGTGTTTTCTTGTTTGAGTGGGATTTTCTTTTTCTTTTAGTATAGCAGTGCTTAGGGCTTTCATAGCTGCCAACGTGGTTCCATCTTGCAGAGTTAACAAAGGAACTATAAAAAATAGCAATTCATATTTGGTTTTATGTTCATTTCTCTCGGTTGAGTTTTATGGCTGACTAATTTTTCATTGTTGTTGTTGGTGATTCTTTATTCGATTGTGGTTTATTAATTTCTAGTAAGACGAAAATGTTCATGACTTTGACAGTGACTTTTGTGTTTCCAACTTTTAGGCTTTGTTCTTTTGTAAGAATTTGGAAGAGATGATTTCGAGGATGATTTGAATGAATTTGAGTGGATTTGAGGGTAATTTTTTTGTTGTTTTTTTGAGTGGATTTGTGGGTAATTAATTGAGAATAGATTTGGAAGTAAAGTTATTAGTGTAGGATTTGATTGATATGACAGATAAAAAAATTGTTTAATTGATAGAAATTAAAGATTACCAAAATATCCTTAGTAGTAAAAGTAATATAAAATTGTAATTGTTAATATTATATATAATTATAAAAATTATTATAAAAAGAGAAAAAAATAAAAATTAATTTTTAACTCTGAATATTAAAAAGAGAAAAAAAAAAGCCTAAACCCTTTCTTCCCTCTACTTCTGGCGTCATCTGGGTTGTCTTCCTGTCCCTTCTTCTTCCATGTTTCTAAATCACATACAACCTGTAATACAAAATAAATGAGTAAAGAACCATTAAAACAGAAAATCGCATACCTCGTTTTGAATGATAATAAAGGGCTAAAATAGGTTTTTCACATAAAATCACTACAAATGTCTTCCCATCAGGGAAGATGAAATAAGATCAACATCCCGCAAATCCCCTCCCTTCCTTCTTCTCAAATCTATTCAAACGAACATAAAAAACAACTTCAATCCGTCCTTCCAAATCACCTTAAACAGTACCATCCCTTAAAACGAACACAACATTAGTTATTTTAACAATGGGATATAGGTTTTCATGATGGTGTTAGGTTCTTTTTGAGCAACCTAAAACCTCCATTACAGAACGACGTAGTGTTAGGTTCTTTTCGAGCGACCTAAAACTTCCATTACAGTATTTGTATTTATTATTGATTAATTTTTCATTACATTTGCTTGACTAAGTAAGCGTTCCTATTTTCGTTCTTCTAACTTTAAGGAGAGATTAACCGCCATGATATTAGGCTAAATTATGGAGTCGACTACCATGACTCCGAGCTCAATTGATGAGTTTGACCAGATTTTTTTGAGCTCGACAAATATGACCTTAAAGGTCAACAAAATGATATTGGGCCTGGACCAAGACACCATTTAGATCAGCCAGACCTTGTTGAACCCGACCAGAGACACCATTGCACTAGTTTAGATTTGGTTGTGAAGTTCAAAGATAACATGTTTGTTTTTTTTTAAATTGTGTAAGGTATACTACAATGGATGAACAAGAAAGTGAAATGATAAATTATACGTTGTTGTTGATGCTATCAAATTATTACTACTTAACCAAGACAACTTCAGTATTTCCAAGTTAGTAGTCAACAAACTAGAAAAAGTTAAGTTAACCTTGAGTCATATCCCAATGAATACAAAAATGCTTTTAATTAATTGATTATTATGAAAGCCTACAAAAGGTTAGCAAAACACAATGCACTTGCTAAAAGATAAAAGTAAACATTTATCCTAATGAAATTAATATTGAAGATTGATTTAGTGTGAATGTAATGAAATAACAAATAAAATAGTTTAAAACAACTACAGTAAAATAGGCTATTTCCAATTACAGTAAAATAAGTTATTTCCACTGTCTTTTCAAAATAGATTCATCATTAGTTAACCATAGATTATTGTTCCATTGATTATTGTTTTAGATTTTCAAATTAATTAAAGTATATTCTTAATTAATTTATGGCAAAAATCAAAGTAGATTTTCATTAAAAGCAAAACCTTTCTAGATTATTCATAATAAATTATGTTTAATCATATCTATCCTTTCATTTCCTAACCAAATTATAAAAGTTAATTAATCAAAGTATATTATTCTTAACTAATTATTGTTAATGTTTTCACCAGTAATCAAAGTACATTCTCCATTGGTAGATAAAACTCATTTAATCACATGAAAGCTCCTAACTTCAACCAAAGTATATTCTCGGTTTACTCATACAAATAGTGCCTATTTCTGGTTACTTTTCTCAAATAGGTCCTTCACTTATTTTTTGTCTCAATTGGGTCCCTATTTTGAAAAAATTGAAGCCAGTAGATCCTTGTAGGTAGTTTCGTACTAACCTCGTTAAAGAGGGTGTCACATGTCAATTCGTACTTTTTTTTTTAATTTTTTAAATATATTTATAATTATTTTTTTTTTATTTTTTTAAAAAATAAAAAAAATTGTCACGTGTCAAGTTGACATTGACGTGACTCTACGTGCCATTGATAATGTCATATGTCATTGTCAGGCCACGTGTTATTGTATTAGTCACAATTTGGTCCATTTATTTTTATTTTGTCTCAATTTGGTCTCTATTTTTATTTTGTCTC